CCCCCATGTAGACCCTCATGATTTCTTTGTGTTTGCATGTTCCCCCAACAGAGCCCAAGCATGGCCCTGAAAGGGTGCCACCCCACCACCCTGAGGGTAGTGTCCTTCCTCTGCACCTTCCTGACCTTCGGCAGTATCCTGCCTGTGTTCCTGGACGTGTCAGATGACTCCCTCTATGTGCCAATAGCCACCATCTCTCCCTCAGGTGTACCAGTAAGTCTCCAACAGACTGTAGTCGGAGCTATAAAGTTGGAGAGTACAGTAGAATCTTCCGCTAGATAAAACATCTCTTAACTGCTGCAACATACATTTAAGTTTAAATTATGGTGCTACTTTCGTATACCATAATCTATATAGCTATAGTAGGATATCTCACCTTGTAATCTTACCTTGAATGGTCAATAGGTAAGTAATGAGACCACTCCTTATTATTTTAAGTTGTGTCTGTACGGCAGTACGATATAGAAGAACTTGGGTTCGATCTCAATTTGGCTTGTGATTCTTAATGAGAAACAGTGCCCATTAGAGTTAATTTTCAATTTCATTTGAATGAACCAAAACAAGATTTCATACCTTCATGAAATATTTAGTTTTTATTAGTTTTGTGATTTCATTTTTTTTACTCATTATTGTGATGGAGTTTTCTGTTTTATAATAGCTCTATGTATTTTATCACTGACACCTCACCAACTTGTGGAACCTCACCCTGTGCCTGACCTATTGTGGTCTGTGGTTAGGGAATTCCCCACCCACATGCTGTCACTCAATTGTGCACTCAAACTCAAGCAAACACACAAATGCATCCAAAGCAAACCATACACAGTGATAATGAATGGTACCTGTGTTGCAGGAAAACGCTACAAAAGAGGTGTCAGTATGCTGGAACTGGGACATGGAGCTCGATCAAGATGGCCGCTGCCCCTTCTCCTTCCTGTTTGCCGCCGTTGTGATCAGCGGGACCGTCATCCTGTGTTCGGTGCTGTCCAACCTGGCTCGGCGGTCCTGCGACTGCTACCAAGGTGTATCCCGCCGCCCCTGCCTTCGCTATCTCTTCCAGTTTTCCGCCTTTGTGGGCAACCTGATGACGTTCCTCCTCCTGGCTGCTTTCGTCGTTCTGATGTTAGTTTTCAGCTTTGCCGATGAAGTTAGCAAACAGAGACTGACAGATAAGATCCTTGACAAGATGTATCACATCTGGTTTGCCTTGGTGTGTCTGGGCACTCTGCTGTCTTTCACAGCCACGGTACTGAGTGGCGTGGAAAGTGTGCAGCGACGTTCGTCTGACTGGCTGGAATACTCTAATTCCCAGTTGCTTATGTACCATGCCAGTCTCAACTATGGTGACTTTTGAACAGTTTTGTGAACACAAAAAGCAGCATTGATTTTGAAGATCTAAATGATCTAGAAGTCAGTAAAAAGAAACTGCAATAAATTCTGATCATATCTTATTTTTGTATATTTGGTTTGTAATTTTGATTTACCAGTATCAAAAGAGTTAAATAGATCTGTAGAAGGCTCAAAATTTTCTCCAAAATCTATTTTCAGGAAGGTGTGCAAAAAGAAAAATTGATGAAGTCTGTGGACATGTAGCTGTGACAATGTCAGAAATTTATAGAGCTGTATTGGCTATCTTGCTTAAATTTTGTACTGCAATGATGGTAAGCTGATAAGTGTTGAATTTCATTGTATTATAAGATACTTGTTGCATATATAAGTAGTGTTTCAGAGGACACCTTGGTGCAATAACCACTGTGACATGTATGTGATCATGTACATAACATGATAACAATATTGATATTGTGCTGGCAATGAACAAATCTTTACAAATGTACTTGATGTGTAATGTAGTATGAGCTGCAGTTATAGATATTATCAATGCAATATTTATTAGCAGTTAGAAAAATATTGACCTTCCAATATGCATATTGATGCAATTAAAGTTTCCAAAGTGAGAACTAGCCTTGTGTTATGTTGACTTTATTTGGAAAAGTACTTATTAGGAAGTAACTGCAAGCCATACATGCACATGAGATTAGAAAGAAACCCAGGACAGTACATGTCTTGTACTTTTATATATAAGTTATTAGTGTGAGGTAATCATGATACAAGTTCAAGTCAAATTTATGTCTCAATATTGATAAAATCTTGAAAATGAATTACCAGAAAAAAAATGACAATGACACTCCACTGTCGCATTTCAGCCAGTTTTCTTCTATATTTGACAATTCAATGCACCACAACATTTACATTTGATTACTCCAACATACACTGGACCTGTTTTAGTTTGCTTGTATATGTACATTCTTTCATAGATTAGTTTAAACTACTATGGACTTGTAACTGCAAAGAGAGGTTGCATTACCTTGTATACCTACTTGCCCGTAGATTATGTCCCACTAGCTTGAAAATGACAAAAAGGCAAACTTAGATGGATGATCATGATATTTTTTAAAACATCAGTTCACGCATGTAGGAATTGGAATGATCTGTTCATTGAAAAAAAAGCTGGAATGAAGTAGTTATATTATCCATATGCTTCACAATTGGTTTATGTATCTGCAGCACTTATCACCTTGTATTTATACTGCTTGGTTAATACATTTTTACATAACTGTGGTTGTTACATTCTGGTAAGTTATAACTACATGTAAATTATCTGTCTTTGCTGAGGTACCAATATAGCTAATATCAAGTTATATAAAATACAACGTGATATCTATCATGTCTACATGCCTTTGTCATCACAGTGATCCATCTCCCAAGCACATTGGACTTTGCGTACAAGCAGCACTGTGATGTTCTATGCCTTATCAAATACTACTAGTACATAGACTCAACTGTGTCGCAGTACTACCTATATCTGATAGGTGGCATTTCTGATTGGCAATTAAGGTGAACATACACTAAACCTTGGATAGCAAGAGTGTACAAATTCATTTGCTACATTTGTAATTTTGCTGTCCCAGTATGTACTGTAAGACCCACCCACCCAAAAATCTTAACTGTATGTGTGTTTCTGCTGGTAACAGGTGGTTACAAGTAGGATTCCTAACTGTAAGTTTAGCCGATCTAATACTAACATCAGAAACGCAATAATTACAACATTTTCAATATACCATAGCTATACAATGGAGCCTGCCCATGAAAAGCAGTCCTTAGGGTTGCCTTTAGAGTTCAATTTGTACAAAAGAAGAAATAGATCTTTTACAGGTACATTATAATAGTCAAGCAATTTAAAAACTTACAGGGATGGACCAGAATGGTTGGAAGCTATCTGTGTGTATGTGCAGTTTTGTCCCAATATTTTACGAAAAATCTTCTGATTTGCTTTAACCTAGCTCATTTATTATATTTCTTTGTTTCAAGCCTTTTTTGCCACAATCACACGGAAAAAAATTCACAACCTTTTCTGGTCCATCTCTTACACAAGCTACCATACATACAGCAAATATACACTAACATCTTCCAATGTACATATCACAACAAGTCAGAACACCTTATCCAATTCTAGAATACTTCATACTAAAATATCTTCATCCTTGCATTGAAATATAGTTTAAATTGTAGGACAGTAGAGAGCTTGTTCACATCATTCTATAGTTACTGTACTAGTATATTATATATATATATATATATATACCAGTAGAGGTCATTTTACAATGAACAGTACCTTTATTACAGTTACACACTTTACTATGAATACATAGCACTATTACTATGGCACTCACGGTACAAAATGGACAAAATTTGCTCATTTCTTTGTTTTTCCACAGAGTGAATGTCATTTTCTTCCAGCACAATGGCACAATATTCTAATCTGGTATGATGATATACGATTTTGTTATTTTGGAGTTGTATAGATATCAGGTGGGAGATGAACAATCCTACTAACGGCCCGGTCACATATGCCATACAATTGTCTTACCATTGCAAACTGAGGGCATTTTTGTGTTAGTCGTACTTACATGTATGTCCTGCAAAATTATGGCTGAAAAGGCTGTCTTAAATCCTTGTAGGTTGTTCTGTCACAGCCCGCTTAAAAAATTCTACATCATCAAAATTGCACAATAGCCTATGACAAATTTGACCGCGCCGTACACACACCTGTGCAGATTTTGGCCAGATATTAGTCTGATATCAAAGATCTTTATACAGTCATTTCTTGATCTGATTTTGGCAGGTGGCAAGAACTAAAACCTGACAGAAACACATCTGTTACCAAGTCACTTTCCCCGACTTGTTTCCGGCCATTTTTGCCTCAACACATCTGCCAAACTTTAAGAGAGGAACAATTAACAGTAAGTGTATTCTGTTTGTTTTAATTTTGCTCTTTTCACTCGAGTTTTAAGATTTCTCTTTTTACTTTCTTTCTCTCCATGTCAATTCTATAGCCAGCCGACATGAGGATATAAGTTGATATTGGGAGCTGTTCAGGATAACTTTTGTAAATTTCTAACACTTCCAGTATTTTGTTCAGGATGACTAAAAGGGAAGTGCTTATTAGCTTCCTAGACATGAGAACTTCAAGTTTTACTTAAGTCCAAGCTGCCATTTTGGTTCAACTTTTGGCTACACTGATATTTGAAAGAAAGACCAGGATACCATGATTGCAAATACCGATAAAAGTACACAGTCTCTCTATTACAAATTGCTTTCCAACTTTTTAAGCTTCCAGCTTGACACATAACAACTGACATAAAACCTTAGCATTCCTTAGCACAATTTGACATATACTCATATTTGATCTTTTACGTACCTTACCAGGTAATCCTATTTGACATACAAGGGATGGGTAAGAGTTGTGCGATACATAAAAGTATTGGTTGTTGGATAAAATAGGCTAGTGCTAGCTGGTTATCTGATTTCAATAATCCTCCACATATAAAAGACTATATAACAAGGAAATGACTTTGAGTCTACGTAATGTTTACTGTCTAAACCAGCTCTCCTACCTGTCTCACTAATGGACCTTTCCAACTACCCCATGGCGTGTCATTGGAAGGGTCCATCATACTCTTGTGACAGGGAGGTCCACTGTCCTGACCAGGGTGGACCTCTCGCTGGCCTGCTGTTTGACTTGGGAGTTACACATAGGACAGGTGTTCCTGATTTCCAGCCACTTGGAAATACATCTGTAAAATGTGTTGAATATTAAAACAAATTAATTTATCAAAAAAACTGTCATGTGTCTTCTTGTCATCATACCATCCCTGGTAACAGATGAAAAATTATGATACTTCATCAATAGGCACTAAGACCACAAGTAGAGTAAATGTACTTCAACCTTTCTTCTGTGAGCAATTATAGTTAAGGTACTGTAAACCTTGAAACGTTTCTGTGGTTTTATTTTTGCAGATTTTACAGTGATGTCTTGGCCTCCACTCCACAACACAGCAAATATGTGTTACTTTCCAATGTATTACTGTACTACAGAATCTCCTTTTCTCTTCTATCACGATATAAAACCACCGCAACTGTAAATTAATTAACTGTAATCTAGTGCAACAAGGAATGAAATGAGCACTGATTCATCAGATGGAGTAATCTACCAATAACACCTCCAGGAGCTCAACAACATCATTTTACTCAGACAGAAATAGATTGCAGTGGGAATAATTTTCGCAACGTTATTACCAGCTTTGTGTAAGGGCCCCTTTTTACTAGACAGTGAGCACTGATGATAGGAATTGTTGTAAGACACATGATTTTATGATTAGAAAGCTGATTTGAAGGAAAACAAATCACACAAAACTTTTTAAAAAATTTCTATGGCATTCAACAAGCTAATCTGTCATATCTTCGGTTCCTCAGCAGTTCAGAGGTCAGGGGTGCTAAGAGTATACAGTGCAATTTTACAGAATACAGTGAAATCGTATTAGTACACAGTGCAATATTTAGTATACAGTGCAATTTCACAAGTAAACAGTGTATACAATGTATACAGTAAATTGCACTGTATACTAATACTATTGCAAGTAAAATTGCACTGTATACTTGTCTAATACGATTGTATTGTATTCCGTAAAATTGCCCTGTATACATGTACTAGTAAAATTGCACTGTATACTCTGGCACCCCTGGAGGTTGCAGCCTCTCGTGAAAGAAGGAGAAAAGATACTCACTTTCTATGGAAGGCATGTCCACATGGACAGAGCCCAATCTCCTCCATCAGCTTGAAATCTTCTAAACACACAGCACAGGTCTGCAGAGGACACAGAAGGTATTCAGGTGAAGACATTAACCCTCAGCTTGCTTTATTATAGGTAGCTGTTTGGCATCAAATTTGTATCAATATATGTGGTTGGGCACCAGAGAAAAGGGCAATTTATGACAGCCAAATTTGGGAATGTGCAGGTATTTCTAATGTCTACCTGCGCCTAACCTGAACCAGTCTATGTACATTTTGTACAGTAACCAGGGTTCATAAATAAATGTGCTATGTGGATTTTTATTTGTCGCATTGACTGCTACCACTTATGAAGAGGTTTAAAGGAAATGAAGGCAGCCGTTCCTGGACAGTTTTTAGTGTGATCTATTTTTCTTAAATTAAGTGGTGCAGGTAAAATTTATCTGGTGCAGGTAAAATTTATCTGGTGCAGGTAAAATTTATCTGGTGCAGGTAAAATTTATCTGGTGCAGGTAATTTTTTATATCACCTGCACCAGTGCAGGTATGCAGAAAAAAGTATTTTGAGCCCTGACTTTGGCATGAATGCAAAGCTAGATCAAACAAAGAGTTGTAACAATTAAGTTATAACTTATAAAATCATGATAACACAAAGGGTACAAAGTACTAATTCGACTTTCTACAATTATAAATCCATAGATTAACAAATTAGAATGGTTACTGCAAGTAACATCTAAAATAAGATTTCACAGACAACATCAGTATTTGTGATGACAGAAGTGCAAGTACAAGGACAGTGAGAAAATAGATGGCAGTAGTTTCCCTACCTTGTCAGAAAGGAAGTCCAACTATAATCGGTAGCAGAATATAGAGGATAAGGCATAGAGGCATGACTAGTTATTAGTGCACCTGCATAGATTATCAGTGATGTGTGATAGTACTACTGTCACTGGGTGATATCTCATAATAGATCTAGATGGCCCAATTTCAAGGACGCCGCTTTCTACGAAATTTAGCGCAACAAGCAATCGGTAGATAAAACTGTGAGTGAACAGAAGGTAATTTCATTGGTGACTGCATAGAACATGCATGGAACATGCAAGGCTTAAAGAGCCACTGATACTGAGGGGAAAATCTCTCAGTGACATATCCCAATCACACTGCGTGTTGCTTGGAATTATGAAAGTATTACCAGGATATGAGACTGAATGACAGAATGACAGCTCTTCAAATCATTAAACAGTACACCATGTACATGATGTACATTTGTACCATGTACCCATGGAGGTAGAAAACCTCCATGATGTACCCAAGGAAGAAATGATATTCCACTTACCTCATTTGAAGAACATTTCTTTTTCTTGTATGTGATCTGAAATGGAGCAATAGAAAACTACTGCTACAGAAATATGAATAATCTAGAAAAGAAAAAAAAAAAAAAAGATCACAGCACGTCCTCCGAGGCTCTGACCTGGCTCTAGGCCTGGGTAGTCCATGGTAGTTAGCGACAATACGGAGCCCGGCACCCAGGCTACTGAAGTTCCACGACTCAAGAACTCAGTACATACGTACAGCGCCGTTTCATCAACTCCGCAAAAAGACAGCATGTGTCGGCTTGTCGTATACGTCGCTAAGTACTACCGCAAATTCACAATACGAGTTTTGAATTCCTGTGGTTTAGTAGCATTTTTATTTTTGGCCGGATTTTTATTTTATTCGCCCGCGCGCACTAGTTTGGGGGTCTTTAGAGGATGTCATCCATAAAATTAAGTCGGCGTGGCCTTTGCAAATAAAAATAAAAATCCAGAATCAACTGCAAAATGCTCATATTTTGTCCTGAACAGTTGAAAACAGTCCTTTTCATCCTAGTTGTTACAGTTATTCCATCTTTCAATGCAATGGTATCATTAAAAGTTCAAAATTCATTGTTTAAATTTTGAACCAGCCTGGTGTGTTGACTTCATGGCTTCTATCGTACCATTTTGGGCCATAATACGATACCTAGGCCTGTTTTTATTTTTATTTTTTTTCGCCCGCCCGCTCCATTATTTTTGTAGAAAAATCCGTTAACCAAGAAATTAAATTGGTGTGGCCTTACAGTTTTTTAAAAGTAGGGTATCTGTGGAATGAATTTTGATATGATAGCCATTGCAGATTGGTAGCTATCTGACCTTGAACTCTGACCCCATATGGGCCGTGTCCTTTTGTACTTGTACGAACGAAGGAACTAAGGATTCCAAAAATGTTAATTTTGTGTTGATATGTCATTTCTATAAGAATTGTGAGCCTTTAAAATTCAAAAATGTAATATGTTTACTTTTCAAAACCAGTCATGTTACACTTGTCTTCATCAAACTCATTCTCAGTCATTAAAGAAAACTGATGAAAAATAGAGGACTCTATCTGAAACATTTGACACTTCAGACTTCAGAGATCTATCCAGTTGCTTGATTTATTTTGCATTATGTTCTACCTGAATGCCTAAGCTTCATCAATGTGCACATTGCATCCTCAATTTGTATGTACTACATAAAACCTATCCCATCGCAACAAAAAATTCATTTCCAATATAGAAGACATGGAGAAAACTGCACAACCATCATATTCTCAATGGGATTCACTACCTTTAACAGTCATATTGGTCCAATACAACACTCTAGAGGAATGCGATCATGCTTTTGTCTGGCAAAGCACCCAATCAATTGTCTCAAAAGCATCCCATACCGGGGGGTATTACTGGAAATACATTAGATTTTGCGCTGGTTATATTTCACAGTTGAAATAATTCTTTAGCACAGTTGTGTTCCCTGTCTCCTGGGTCTAACAACTTATCTCTAATAGTTAAGCTCTTGCTGTGAATATCCCAATTATTTTGGTGCTGCTCTGTATGTGCTGTGTGTTTCTATTTTTGCCACTTGCCTAATAAAACAGAGGTCAGACTTTTTTTAGGAATTACGTCTGGCTTCCAATTTTTTAGAGATTAATTATGCCAGGACACCCAAAGAGAAGCTGACAAAATCGAATGCCCAGCAAAACGCCTGAAAAAACAAGAAATTTCCGTAAAAAGGCCTAAGGTCCTACAGGGGAGTAGATTTGAAAGTGTTTGCTCCTTTTACTGGCAAGTATCATTTTCATAGTAGGCTGTTGTCTCTTGCCTTGCATGATAAATTCTCCGGACTCAAAATGGGACTTCAATCAAGCAATTTGCTGATGTCATTGCCAGATACCCCTACGAAGTTATGACGTGCGTACGACTTGAATAGAACACGAGTTATTAATTTATTATTCCCTCAGTGGAGTGCATTTCACAGCAATGTGGCCGCGGTGTGGTTTCTGTGGTGCTTTTACGTTTCAGCTACTAAGGCCACACCAATTTAATTGGTTGGTTCTCGGATTTTTTCAGAAAAAATATGAAGCGACAGGGCGAAAAAAAATAAAAATAAAAACAGGTCTAGGCATCCTGTTATAGGCTTAAATGCTACAAAATGAGCCATGAAGTCAACACAAAAGGCTGGGTTAAAATTTAAACATTGAATTTTGAACTTTTAATCAAACCACTGCAATGATAGATGGGAAAACTGTAACAACTAGGAAGAAAAGGACTTCCCTCAACTGTTGGGGGGCAAAACATGAGCATTTTTCAGTTGATTCAGGACCAGAATCAAGTTTTTTTTTTGCAAATCAGAAAAAAACGAAGAGGCGAATCCGAGAACCAACAAATTAAATTGGTGTGGCCTAACAGTAATTTTTCAAGTTGGTTTCCCCTTAGAACTCATACGCACGCAAATTTCAAGCAAAGGATCACATGGTTACAGTCTTCAATTGAATCATCTATTAGTTCATGATGGTAGATATAGATAACTGTAGTTTTGGTTCCTTGTGATTCCGATAAAAAGATTTCCATCATGCCACCTGCCTGTTAAGTACACATGTTGACGTCATAGGAATGGAATACAAGTCATATAACATTACTGTGTGAAATCATGTTACACAATTTAAAGAGCCACTTAATAAAACATAGCCCTCGTATCAATATGCTTATATGGTAGGTAAAGAACTAGGTACAGCATATCAATGTAGTGCAAAGTAAACCATCAAACAGTGGATGCTAATAATAACTGAAATGCCTGACTCGAGCTCTTCAGAGAAATTATCCATATTTTGTATTATGTAGACCTGGATGACTAATTTTCATTAACATAATATATATGTCGTATCATACTGTATTCTAGCAGTCTATATCAATTATTTTTAAAAAATTTATTCACATATATTTATTGAGTATTGGGCAAAAAGCAAAAGTTGCTTGTATTGCTTACAATGATTATTTCACAATGAACCACTGTCACTATTAACTGTTGTCACATTGAACTTCTAACTTTTGAGAAACCACAGCCTGGTATTGCAGCTTATATGTAAGTAACAAGAACTGTGCCACATACCTTTTTGTATCCCCTTTCCAGCCTCGCTTCTCTTCTCAATCTGCAACACAAAAGACAATTTCAGGTTACACTGTAAGGAAGATTCTGAATACTTTCATCAGCTGGCAGGGTTTTAAAAGGCAATGTTATGAAGAGGTATTTTGACAATATTTTTTGATACTGCCAAAGACCACCTCAACCTGAAAACAATCAAAATGGCAAAGTTCAAGAAAGTTTACAAAATAAATTACAGTGTAACAGTGGTATCTGATGTCTGTCAAGTAATGGGTAAAAGTACGATGGACCAGTTGTGGACCACTGGGACATCCCTTTGGGATCAGTAAAAACAACCCTAGACCTGAGACTGTGTACCCGTTTTGGATTTACCAAAACAAACAGTACTAATTGGTTAATCCAACACATTTACAAGATTACATGTAAATTAAACCAGATGTATCACATCTGTGAATAGTTTCATCAGGTTGGTAAGACACTGAGTAAAGAGACTCTTTTTACACAAACAAGTGTTTTATTCAGCCAACAATTCAGTGACCGTCTGTCACCTTCCTCAGGGCAATTCTGACTGGTTCACATTACACTGTACCTGTACCTGTAACTATTTTTGTTTAGTAATATCCAACTCCCGTACATTTGGGACTGCATTGTAGAAACATTTAACTGTCATCACACATATGTGTAGATATGTTAATATTGTACATTAGGGAATGCATCTACATCAGCGACACCTGTGCTGCAATGTAATGTGAACCAGTCTGAATTGCCCTGAGGAAGGTGACAGACGGTCACCGAAATGTCAGCTGAATGAAAGACTTTGTTGTTTGAAAAGAGTCTCCTCAGATGTACAGTGTATAACCTTACAGTTTAGTCTACCATGATCATCTTTAGGAGAATTATCACTGTATAACGTTACAGTGTAATAAAATTAATTACAACTGTATGAAGGGAAAGAAATGGATTATGATGTTAGTATGGAGAAAGAAAAAGTTAAGAAACCATAACTTAACTGATAAGAATTTCAATACCCTTTCTAGTGAAACCCCCCAACATACATGTTGTACATCCTTAATTTAAGCAAATGTATGTAGCAATGTAAAATAGCATAATGTCATGTACATGTACATGTCTGAACTTTTGACTTGGCCAATGCTAACAACTAGCTTCTGAGTATAGGACCTAAGAATCACATTCCACTTACAGAATAATATCATGTTTACAGTCAATCATCAACACAAATCAACACATAAAGTGTTTAGCAAGTGTTTAGCAAATAGACAACAGCTTATCTTGAGGAAGACATAATTACATGTTTGTTGGCACATACAACAATACACAGTGAGAGGATGATATCCAAATTCTCTAATTCTCTATGGGATTTAAAAAAAAAATGGTGCCTTGAAAAAAGACAGCATTGCAGCCACAGTTCTACATGTGGGTAGTAGGTATTGAGGGTAACAACAGGACAGTTAAAGAAGCTATATCAGTATATGGTTGATGTCAAAATGTTTGAAGTTAGTCCGTCCAGTATTCATTATAATTACGCTTCATTTACTGCTATAATTAGAGACCTAATTGTGCATCAGAGGTACAGGAAACATGCCTGAAGGGAAGATAGCCCAGCTACATGTTACAAAAGACTTTTTGTGGCTTGAAGGTGCACGTGTTGACTTTGATGACCTTTTATTATATTGTACATTTTGAGCAAAAGTAGGTCATCATAACGAGCTACACGTGCCATCCAACTGACAATCGTTAAGGGCCACACATGGACCTAGCGCGATCGTCATACGGCCGCAAGAATTGTCCCGAGGCATTTGGGACAGTTGTGCACAAAATTCAGCTGTACATGTCTAATGTTACACAAAAGGCTTTCTAAGAATCCTTGTGGGCGGTTGGTTCTGTCACAGCCTGACTAAAAATGCTACAGCATCAAAATCATGCGATCACCTACGATTGTGAACGTAAGGTACACATTTTTGACAGCCGTGGGAACCTTTAACGTTACATAACTACAAGACCACATAATTGCCCACCTTGCCTCTCGCTTGACGTGACAGTAACAACAAGTGCAGCACCAACAGAGAAAGACACTGACAATGGCTATACTGGGGGCCAGTGGCAGTACGACACTATATCCAATATCGTAGGGAACATCCTCAGTCATAGTGCAATCATTGTACTCAAGTTGTCCGAAAGGTCACAAATGAATGCTCTTGTCCAGAAATAACATGGCCAAACTCCCGAATTACATTGTTGAAGTGACAGTGCAAGACACAATGGAACATCATGCAACAAATTACAAATTGTTGTGTTGCAGTCGCACGAGTGACATCACGGGAAGAAGTGGACAGCAGCATATGACGTGCCAACCCGCACCTTTCAAAAGAATGTTTTGACAGTACAGTAAACAAGGGACAATGCCTGAAGGTATAAACAATCTACAATAGAAGTCCCGCAAGGTACAAATATACTCTCCTTCATCTTAGATGTCGGTTTCTAATGCACAAAAGTATTCTAAAATCCAGCAGAATTATATCACTCCAGCTGTTAAGTTACTAACGCGTTTACAAAGGAAAATTTATGAAAATTTGGATGGAGAAGATAGACGCAGAAGTTTTGAAATGTTCCCAACTTAGTTGTCAGACCTGTCTTCTCATGTGCATACGTCACACTCGTGTCAGACACTAACACTGTGCAACCAACTGTCACAACACCCAAGCTGAATCATCATTAAGTCAATGTTAAGAACGACCTACATTAATTTTGGACATCTAAATGTAAAGCTATACATTACAAGTCCCAAATGCATGTTAGGTTTTAGCCAGGCAGTTTTTTAAGACCTTTAAGTTAATGATTTTAAATTTGATGTTCACAATGGTGTAAGGCTGATGAATATGAATTTTACAAGCAAGTAGACGTATAGAATTATAATCCATGGAGAAAGGATATTGATAAGGTTAACAGTATAAATATGAAGTTTGGTACCATGTTTATGAACTGAGAGTTATGAAATGTTGACAGAAAAAATGCCGTGACTATTGATTGAATATGAATAATTCATAGTTTAATACTCTTAACATGCTTTCAATTCATTGTCTTATGCTTTCAATTAATACTTCATCAATAATTCACAGTGTTATACTTGCAACAATGAATCTATTGTTAGAATTGACATAAAGAAGAAGGTGGTGGTATGCTATAGAGGTATTAATGTTAAAATTTCACTCAAAGTCAATTCAAAGGTATACCCTAAGACTGCAACAAAAAAAATGCTGAATTCAAATAGTTATGTAACAGTGCTAACTGACCATGCTAAATGGTCGTGCGACCTTTTAGTGTAGTGGTTAGCGTTGGTGACCGCCAAGCGGACAACTCGGGTTCGATTCCCGGTTGTGACCTGCTCGCCCTTTTCGGTTTTTACAGTTATACTCAGGCCTAGGAAACATTTATGTTTCCTATTTCCAGACTGACCCGAGTAAGAACTGTCGACCCTAGTCTTTTTTGTGTGTATGTGGACCCCTGCAAGGGACATAAATTTTTCGAGCTGATCGACCTTTTCTTGCTCCATGATCTGACACCTGAGTGATGAAACATTGTACAATCGCTTTTACAAAATTGAGATTGGAAATAAAGGTGTCCTCGTGCAGATTTTACTTGTTAAACTTCATTGTATGAGTTGAATCTAAAAAATAAGAAAGAAAAAAAAGATAAATACTTACATGTACCTATAGGTATACCTAAATTTTTTTTCAGGACAGAACAGGAAATGCAACATTTTTTCCTAGGCTTAACAAATATGGTTGGAACAAGTTGCTATAAAACACTTTTGCCTCTATGGCAGGGTCATTCGACATGCATCAGGTGGTCATTAGATGGCAGAATAAAGCTGTTGTTGTAAATCTTCATCCAACACCCATCTTCCAACTTCCTGTGCTTTGTAATGGCTTTTCAATGATTAAAAGCCTAGGTTAATTCCAAATTGACTCCATGGCATGTTACAAAAATATGAATTGAAAATTTAGTACACAACAATAGCCCCAAGAAATGTACCAATTTCATGTAGTCTTTTTATGCCCAAAATCAGACATGACAGAATTCACCTACAGATAAAAATAGCAGCACTGAATATTCATCAGCCAACACTGCATTGTGTATATATATATATATGTAATGGTATTGGGAATTGCAAATAGACAAGATAGACATGCCAAAATACAATACATCACTCCCTTGGGGTAAAGTGACAATAAAAATAATTCATATCAGTTCATATGGAATCTGACAAGTGGAAGAGAACTGAAAATGAAGGCAGCACATCAATGCAGTTATACACAAACCACCATATTGCAGGGGTAATGTTTTATAAATAGACTGAAGTCACTTCATTTGCCATCCATGTTTTATTCTGCTTGCACCTCTATGTTTTTAATGAAACATAAAGCTTCGAGCAGCCCTGGTATAAGGTAGAAAACAGCTTGCCAACAACATCTGACACAGAATGTACGTCATGTGTGTTGTCCTGACATCGGTGTTCCACTCTACTGCCACAGGGCAAAATTTGATACCATGTAAGGTAACAGCAAATTTGCTTGGTCGTGGCTTGCTGTCAGGATATACCAGATCCTGAGATCATGGTAACTCACCGGGTATAGGACAGATTTGATTCTCCAGCTGAAAACAATTCTTTTCCTTTCATGATAATATGATGAACAGCAGTGTGGGACACGTTTCATTTTTTCTTCTTTTGATGTAGAGAGAAAAACATGGTGGTGTGCATGGCTCCATAACCTTAAGTGTGCCGCTGTCACGAGCGGTTTTAAATTACAATCATTCCAAAATCCAACAATGGGGTGCACATTTTTGGTTCCTTACGTCACCAGTGTCAGAAAATGGTTGACTCTGCAACGTCATTCCACTGAGGTTTATCGGCGAGGCAGTATCATGAAGGTCATCATACACTATTCATGGAATATCCCTCCATGCGCCATTTGCCAACTGAACACAGATATACCACCTAGGCTTTTTCTCCACTAGTAATTTTCACCACACAATCCAGTGTTTCTGATACTACAGCTACAAATTACATCAAATCACCATTCTGCACTGCCACCATTTATTTCACATCATCTACATCCTGTATATAGTACACCGCACATCAGCATTACGTCTAAGGCTAGCTCATTGAAAAATCAATCAAACCCACCCCCCCTCCTCTCCCCAGTGGATCAGTTATAAGATCTTCAACCTACCTGCTATGACAGAGGTAACAGCACATACACAGTGCTACCAGCACTAGACACATATAACAGGAGAAAACTGCAAGTCCAACCATTGCAATATCACCGTCCACAGCCTCCTCCATGGCTGGCAGAGCTTCCTGTTATACTTAAGGCCTCCTGGGAATGCCAGCAAATTGCTTATCTGCTTCTGAGATGGGCAACAATTAAACCGGCATAACAGCGGGCCTACGGTCTGATAATCTACCGAGAGTTACGCAGTGTCTATCTCCAAATTTATAGGACAAAGGCAATATAGATCCTGCCGTCACCTCATGTACACACATATATTAATGTGAAATAAAAAATCCTGTAAATCGTACATGCACAGCAGCATTTCACCAAGGAACTCCTCATGTTGTATCGAGAGAAGCGTTAATGTTATGAATGGAATGCATAATTCCCTGGGAATGGGTTGTTTTATGATGATTAGTGCAGGGGCACTAGAAGACCGCAAATAGTTCTAACAGTAAGCCACTAAGAAATTCCCGTTTAAGATCAGCTCTGGAGATATGCGTTGGGTCCTGATTGATTTTCAATATGCCGGGGGTTGTGTGTTAATTGTGCCAAGGCTCACGCTCCGGTTCCAGCATTCTATTCACATCACACACGCACGCGCTCAATTCTGCAACATTTGATTCACAGGCAAGAATATATTATAGCATGGCTGTGGACTTATGCAGTCTTATGGATAGGTGTTATTGCCATGCTGCGCTTATTATTTCAAGGGGCATAATCCAGCCTAACAGTCTTAAGTTATGTTATGACATGAAGATACATGTATAATTCAGTATTCCAGAAGGGCAAGGCGGTAATAAGCCATGTGAAGGCTGCCTTCTGCGGTTTTATGGCAATTCAATATGATTTCTCCCTGGTTTTCTGACCCATAGGTTATAGTTTCAATATTCGGTTTCTGAATTTTCAGACAAAATTAACATTGTAGCTATTATGATACCTTAAGTTAGGTTTCCTGGGTAGCATGAGAAATTGGTGGCTGACATACTAGAAATGCATTTACTGCATTTTTATGCTTTGGTTTTATTTTCACAGTTTGTGCTATGTCGTGTAAATTCAAAATCATGATACTACAAATATGTGTTTTGCATTTCTATTGTATTACTGTTTCAACTGTGAACTTCAAACACGTTGAAATCCTTTTTACAGCTAACAATGATACTTACAAATGCTTTAGGGTCAAATGTTTTATTTTAACACAATGGTACATGCCACTGGGTATCTGTGCTTCTTCTACAATAAACCGTTCCTGATCGAACACACCAAACCCCTGGCATGCTCTATTTTGAACACGTCCGTCAAAATCAGCGTGGGAAGGACCGCGCCGGCCACCGCCGTCAGAATGTCGGTTTTTCCGTCCAATGTTAGGGCTTTTTGCAGCAAAAAAACTCTCTTAGTGGCCCCCAAAAAGGGTCACGCTATCTTTGTTGAAGTACAGATCCACAGAGTAAAACTTATTTGAGGATGGGACAGGGTTAGTTTTAGTGAGAGCAAAATGTTTTCGCTCAATGCGGATGCGGGATGCAACCCATAACATCATGGTAGGCAGACAAGATTTCCCAGTTGCTGAAAAAAAGCCAATGCATGTGTTATGCAGAGTATGTTTTCCACGGTATTTGCTGCATGCATTGCAGCTACATGCAAGCCAGGAAAAAAATGAAATCGACAGGCACCAATAACAGACAGATGTAAGTTCAGCACCAAGGACAGGTAGACGTTCCCAACAGCAAAACTTGGTATAGAAATGAGAAAAACACAGCTTGGGTCCTCACGAGAGAGGGCGCAACTTATAAAGGGCTTGTGATATAAGTAGAAACATAAGCATGCAAACACGGACATAAACAATAATGAGATCTTTAGGCCACACCAATTTCATTTGTTGATTCTCCAATTCCCCTCTTCATTTTTTTCTGATTTGCCAAAAAAAAAATAAAAATAAAAAATCTGGTTCTGAACTAAAAAATGCTCAGATTTTGCCCCCAACAGTTGAGAAAAGTCCTTTTCTTTCTGTACCTTACAGTTTTTCCATCTATCAATGCAGTGGTTTGATTAAAAGTTCAAAATTAATTGTTTAAAT